ACGAGGAGCGCTTCGGCTGTGACTTCCTCGGGGAGGGTCGGGTCGCCCTCAAGAAGGTCCGCCCACACGAGACCAAGCGGATAAGAATTAATCTGGAGAAACGAGCCATGGTGAGTAGTTAGCGTGCGTGCGTGCGTGCGTGTTTGATCTTCAACAATAATCAAAGTAATCTATTTTCACAACTATTAATCTTAAACTTATCACTTATCTTAATATATTGTATTCCTTACAAAAGAATTATTTTATTGGTATATCCCATATTAATACCATTTAGTTCCGGTTATATTCATCTCACGTCGTTAATATGTGCTGTAACGACTTATTTTATTTGTTTATTTATTTCTCGTTATTTTATTTGTAATTTTGAATTAACAACCTTCCATTGGTTGATAAGTCCTCCACCGTGTAGGTGTGCTACCACCTGTACCGTGTAGGTGTGCTACCACCTGTACCGTGTAGGTGTGCTACCACCTGTACAGTGCAGGTGTGCTACCACCTGTACCGTGTAGGTGTGCTACCACCTGTACAGTGCAGGTGTGCTACCACCTGTACAGTGCAGGTGTGCTACCACCTGTACAGTGCAGGTGTGCTACCACCTGTACCGTGTAGGTGTGCTACCACCTGTACAGTGCAGGTGTGCTACCACCTGTACAGTGCAGGTGTGCTACCACCTGTACAGTGTAGGTGTGCTACCACCTGTACAGTGTAGGTGTACTACCACCTGTACAGTGTAGGTGTGCTACCACCTGTACCGTGTAGGTGTGCTACCACCTGTACCGTGCAGGTGTACTACCACCTGTACAGTGCAGGTGTGCTACCACCTGTACCGTGCAGGTGTGCTACCACCTGTACAGTGCAGGTGTGCTACCACCTGTACAGTGCAGGTGTGCTACCACCTGTACCGTGCAGGTGTGCTACCACCTGTACCGTGCAGGTGTGCTACCACCTGTACCGTGCAGGTGTGCTACCACCTGTACAGTGCAGGTGTGCTACCACCTGTACAGTGCAGGTGTGCTACCACCTGTACAGTGCAGGTGTACTACCACCTGTACAGTGCAGGTGTACTACCACCTGTACAGTGCAGGTGTACTACCACCTGTACAGTGCAGGTGTACTACCACCTGTATAGTACAGGTGTACTACCACCTGTACGGTGCAGGTGTACTACCACCTGTACAGTGCAGCTCATTAATGTCTACATAATACTTGTAGTTTTACTAATTACTGTGTACTAAAGTGTGTGTACGGGCCCGACGGCTGAGTGGACAGCGCTCGGGATTCGTAGTCCTAACGTTCTGGGTTCGATCCCCGGCAGAGGCGGAAACGATTGGGTAGAGTTTCCTTCATCCTGATGCACCTGTTTACTTAGCAGTAAATAGGTACCTGGGAGTTAGACAGCTGCTACGGACTGCTTCCTGGGGGTGTGTATAAAAAAAAAACGATCCTGGTTGAGGACCGGGCCGCGGGGACGCTAAGCCCAAGATAACCAATGATCTTAAGATAACCATTTTACTACTGTATATGCACAGTCATGAGCAGTCCTGTTGTCCTCGTCATATTGTGCATTCCGTTTTCTTAATCCCAGTTTTATCATATTCCTGACTAGTTAAATGCCTCTGAATAACACATTATCATCACTCACTGGTTCACTCTCATTCAATAATTTCACAAACTCCCTACAACACATTTGCCCTCGGTGACGAGCACCGATGTTCCTGTGAACGTTACTACTTCTCCCGCCCCTCAGATACACATCAGAAGCCATGTCAACAAGGAGCTCCCATTCTAAACTGCATGAAGTCGCTCTTATAAATCCTTGAAGATGTTAACTATAAAAGCAATCCACACAAGACCTTGTGCCGTGGGCTCTATTACTTTAAAAATCTTGAAGTATAGTAACAATCCCGACTACAAACGTGTTTTAGTTATGCAACAGTGCTCGCCCACCACACACGGGGCCTGCAACAGTGCTCGCCCACCACACACGGGGTCTGCAACAGTGCTCGCCCACCACACACGGGGCCTGCAACAGTGCTCGCCCACCACACACGGGGCCTGCAACAGTGCTCGCCCACCACACACGGGGTCTGCAACAGTGCTCGCCCACCACACACGGGGCCTGCAACAGTGCTCGCCCACCACACACGGGGCCTGCAACAGTGCTCGCCCACCACACACGGGGCCTGCAACAGTGCTCGCCCACCACACACGGGGCCTGCAACAGTGCTCGCCCACCACACACGGGGCCTGCAACAGTGCTCGCCCACCACACACGGGGCCTGCAACAGTGCTCGCCCACCACACACGGGGCCTGCAACAGTGCTCGCCCACCACACACGGGGCCTGCAACAGTGCTCGCCCACCACACACGGGGCCTGCAACAGTGCTCGCCTACCACACACGGGGCCTGCAACAGTGCTCGCCCACCACACACGGGGCCTGCAACAGTGCTCGCCCACCACACACGGGGTCTGCAACAGTGCTCGCCCACCACACACGGGGCCTGCAACAGTGCTCGCCCACCACACACGGGGCCTGCAACAGTGCTCGCCCACCACACACGGGGCCTGCAACAGTGCTCGCCCACCACACACGGGGCCTGCAACAGTGCTCGCCCACCACACACGGGGCCTGCAACAGTGCTCGCCCACCACACACGGGGCCTGCAACAGTGCTCGCCCACCACACACGGGGCCTGCAACAGTGCTCGCCCACCACACACGGGGCCTGCAACAGTGCTCGCCCACCACACACGGGGCCTGCAACAGTGCTCGCCCACCACACACGGGGCCTGCAACAGTGCTCGCCCACCACACACGGGGTCTGCAACAGTGCTCGCCCACCACACACGGGGCCTGCAACAGTGCTCGCCCACCACACACGGGGCCTGCAACAGTGCTCGCCCACCACACACGGGGCCTGCAACAGTGCTCGCCCACCACACACGGGGCCTGCAACAGTGCTCGCCCACCACACACGGGGCCTGCAACAGTGCTCGCCCACCACACACGGGGCCTGCAACAGTGCTCGCCCACCACACACGGGGCCTGCAACAGTGCTCGCCCACCACACACGGGGCCTGCAACAGTGCTCGCCCACCACACACGGGGCCTGCAACAGTGCTCGCCCACCACACACGGGGCCTGCAACAGTGCTCGCCCACCACACACGGGGCCTGCAACAGTGCTCGCCCACCACACACGGGGTCTGCAACAGTGCTCGCCCACCACACACGGGGCCTGCAACAGTGCTCGCCCACCACACACTGGGCTCGCCCACCACACACCTGCAACAGTGCTCGCCCACCACACACGGGGCCTGCAACAGTGCTCGCCCACCACACACGGGGCCTGCAACAGTGCTCGCCCACCACACACGGGGCCTGCAACAGTGCTCGCCCACCACACACGGGGCCTGCAACAGTGCTCGCCCACCACACACGGGGCCTGCAACAGTGCTCGCCCACCACACACGGGGCCTGCAACAGTGCTCGCCCACCACACACGGGGCCTGCAACAGTGCTCGCCCACCACACACGGGGCCTGCAACAGTGCTCGCCCACCACACACGGGGCCTGCAACAGTGCTCGCCCACCACACACGGGGCCTGCAACAGTGCTCGCCCACCACACACGGGGCCTGCAACAGTGCTCGCCCACCACACACGGGGCCTGCAACAGTGCTCGCCCACCACACACGGGGCCTGCAACAGTGCTCGCCCACCACACACGGGGCCTGCAACAGTGCTCGCCCACCACACACGGGGCCTGCAACAGTGCTCGCCCACCACACACGGGGCCTGCAACAGTGCTCGCCCACCACACACGGGGCCTGCAACAGTGCTCGCCCACCACACACGGGGCCTGCAACAGTGCTCGCCCACCACACACGGGGCCTGCAACAGTGCTCGCCCACCACACACGGGGCCTGCAACAGTGCTCGCCCACCACACACGGGGCCTGCAACAGTGCTCGCCCACCACACACGGGGCCTGCAACAGTGCTCGCCACACCACAACAGTGCTCGCCCACCACACACGGGGCCTGCAACAGTGCTCGCCCACCACACACGGGGCCTGCAACAGTGCTCGCCCACCACACACGGGGTCTGCAACAGTGCTCGCCCACCACACACGGGGCCTGCAACAGTGCTCGCCCACCACACACGGGGTCTGCAACAGTGCTCGCCCACCACACACGGGGTCTGCAACAGTGCTCGCCCACCACACACGGGGCCTGCAACAGTGCTCGCCCACCACACACGGGGCCTGCAACAGTGCTCGCCCACACACACAGTGCTCGGGGCCTGCAACAGTGCTCGCCCACCACACACGGGGCCTGCAACAGTGCTCGCCCACCACACACGGGGCCTGCAACAGTGCTCGCCCACCACACACGGGGCCTGCAACAGTGCTCGCCCACCACACACGGGGCCTGCAACAGTGCTCGCCCACCACACACGGGGCCTGCAACAGTGCTCGCCCACCACACACGGGGCCTGCAACAGTGCTCGCCCACCACACACGGGGCCTGCAACAGTGCTCGCCCACCACACACGGGGCCTGCAACAGTGCTCGCCCACCACACACGGGGTCTGCAACAGTGCTCGCCCACCACACACGGGGCCTGCAACAGTGCTCGCCCACCACACACGGGGTCTGCAACAGTGCTCGCCCACCACACACGGGGTCTGCAACAGTGCTCGCCCACCACACACGGGGTCTGCAACAGTGCTCGCCCACCACACACGGGGTCTGCAACAGTGCTCGCCCACCACACACGGGGTCTGCAACAGTGCTCGCCCACCACACACGGGGTCTGCAACAGTGCTCGCCCACCACACACGGGGTCTGCAACAGTGCTCGCCCACCACACACGGGGTCTGCAACAGTGCTCGCCCACCACACACGGGGTCTGCAACAGTGCTCGCCCACCACACACGGGGTCTGCAACAGTGCTCGCCCACCACACACGGGGTCTGCAACAGTGCTCGCCCACCACACACGGGGTCTGCAACAGTGCTCGCCCACCACACACGGGGTCTGCAACAGTGCTCGCCCACCACACACAAGGTCTGCAACAGTGCTCGCCCACCACACACGGGGTCTGCAACAGTGCTCGCCCACCACACACAAGGTCTGCAACAGTGCTCGCCCACCACACACGGGGTCTGCAACAGTGCTCGCCCACCACACACGGGGTCTGCAACAGTGCTCGCCCACCACACACACAGGTCTGCAACAGTGCTCGCCCACCACACACGGGGTCTGCAACAGTGCTCGCCCACCACACACAAGGTCTGCAACAGTGCTCGCCCACCACACACGGGGTCTGCAACAGTGCTCGCCCACCACACACAAGGTCTGCAACAGTGCTCGCCCACCACACACGGGGTCTGCAACAGTGCTCGCCCACCACACACAAGGTCTGCAACAGTGCTCGCCCACCACACACGGGGTCTGCAACAGTGCTCGCCCACCACACACGGGGTCTGCAACAGTGCTCGCCCACCACACACGGGGTCTGCAACAGTGCTCGCCCACCACACACGGGGTCTGCAACAGTGCTCGCCCACCACACACGGGGTCTGCAACAGTGCTCGCCCACCACACACGGGGTCTGCAACAGTGCTCGCCCACCACACACGGGGTCTGCAACAGTGCTCGCCCACCACACACAAGGTCTGCAACAGTGCTCGCCCACCACACACGGGGTCTGCAACAGTGCTCGCTCTGCAACAGTGCTCGCCCACTGTTGCACACACACAAGGTCTGCAACAGTGCTCACCCACCACACACGGGGTGTGCAACAGTGCTCGCCCACCACACACAAGGTCTGCAACAGTGCTCGCCCACCACACACGGGGTCTGCAACAGTGCTCGCCCACCACACACGGGGTCTGCAACAGTGCTCGCCCACCACACACGGGGTCTGCAACAGTGCTCGCCCACCACACACGGGGTCTGCAACAGTGCTCGCCCACCACACACGGGGTCTGCAACAGTGCTCGCCCACCACACACGGGGTCTGCAACAGTGCTCGCCCACCACACACGGGGTCTGCAACAGTGCTCGCCCACCACACACGGGGTCTGCAACAGTGCTCGCCCACCACACACGGGGTCTGCAACAGTGCTCACCCACCACACACAAGGTCTGCAACAGTGCTCGCCCACCACACACGAGGTCTGCAACAGTGCTCGCCCACCACACACGGGGTCTGCAACAGTGCTCGCCCACCACACACAAGGTCTGCAACAGTGCTCGCCCACCACACACAAGGTCTGCAACAGTGCTCGCCCACCACACACGGGGTCTGCAACAGTGCTCGCCCACCACACACGGGGTCTGCAACAGTGCTCGGCCACCACACACGGGGTCTGGAACAGTGCTCGCCCACCACACACGGGGTCTGCAACAGTGCTCACCCACCACACACGGGGTCTGCAACAGTGCTCGCCCACCACACACGGGGCCTGCAACAGTGCTCGCCCACCACACACGGGGTCTGCAACAGTGCTCGCCCACCACACATGGGGTCTGCAACAGTGCTCGCCCACCACACAGTTGATTGACAGTTGAGAGGCGGGACCAAAGAGCCAAAGCTCAACCCCCGCAAGCACAATTAGGTGAGTACAATTAGGTGAGTACACACGGGGTCTGCAACAGTCCTCGCCCACCACACACGGGGCCTGCAACAGTGCTTGCCCACCACACACGGGGCCTGCAACAGTGCTCGCCCACCACACACGGGGTCTGCAACAGTGCTCGCCCACCACACACGGGGCCTGCAACAGTGCTCGCCCACCACACACGGGGCCTGCAACAGTGCTCGCCCACCACACACGGGGTCTGCAACAGTGCTCGCCCACCACACACAGGGCCTGCAACAGTGCTCGCCCACCACACACGGGGCCTGCAACAGTGCTCGCCCACCACACACGGGGCCTGCAACAGTGCTCGCCCACCACACACGGGGTCTGCAACAGTGCTCGCCCACCACACACGGGGTCTGCAACAGTGCTCGCCCACCACACACGGGGCCTGCAACAGTGCTCGCCCACCACACACGGGGCCTGCAACAGTGCTCGCCCACCATACACGGGGTCTGCAACAGTGCTCGCCCACCACACACGGGGTCTGCAACAGTGCTCACCCACCACACACGGGGCCTGCAACAGTGCTCGCCCACCACACACGGGGTCTGCAACAGTGCTCGCCCACCACACACGGGGCCTGCAACTGTGCTCGCCCACCACACACGGGGCCTGCAACAGTGCTCGCCCACCACACACGGGGTCTGCAACAGTGCTCGCCCACCACACATGGGGTCTGCAACAGTGCTCGCCCACCACACACGGGGTCTGCAACAGTGCTCGCCCACCACACACGGGGCCTGCAACAGTGCTCACCCACCACACACGGGGTCTGCAACAGTGCTCGCCCACCACACACGGGGTCTGCAACAGTGCTCGCCCACCACACACGGGGCCTGCAACAGTGCTCGCCCACCACACACGGGGTCTGCAACAGTGCTCACCCACCACACACGGGGCCTGCAACAGTGCTCGCCCACCACACACGGGGTCTGCAACAGTGCTCGCCCACCACACACGGGGCCTGCAACAGTGCTCGCCCACCACACACGGGGCCTGCAACAGTGCTCGCCCACCACACACGGGGTCTGCAACAGTGCTCGCCCACCACACACGGGGCCTGCAACAGTGCTCGCCCACCACACACGGGGTCTGCAACAGTGCTCGCCCACCACACACGGGGCCTGCAACAGTGCTCGCCCACCACACACGGGGTCTACAACAGTGCTCGCCCACCACACATGGGGTCTGCAACAGTGCTCGCCCACCACACACGGGGCCTGCAACAGTGCTCGCCCACCACACACGGGACCTGCAACAGTGCTCGCCCACCACACACGGGGCCTGCAACAGTGCTCGCCCACCACACACGGGGTCTGCAACAGTGCTCGCCCACCACACACGGGGCCTGCAACAGTGCTCGCCCACCACACACGGGGTCTGCAACAGTGCTCGCCCACCACACACGGGGTCTGCAACAGTGCTCGCCCACCACACACGGGGCCTGCAACAGTGCTCGCCCACCACACACGGGGTCTGCAACAGTGCTCGCCCACCACACACGGGGCCTGCAACAGTGCTCGCCCACCACACACGGGGTCTGCAACAGTGCTCGCCCACCACACACGGGGTCTGCAACAGTGCTCGCCCACCACACACGGGGTCTGCAACAGTGCTCGCCCACCACACACGGGGCCTGCAACAGTGCTCGCCCACCACACACGGGGCCTGCAACAGTGCTCGCCCACCACACACGGGGTCTGCAACAGTGCTCGCCCACCACACACGGGGCCTGCAACAGTGCTCGCCCACCACACACGGGGTCTGCAACAGTGCTCGCTCACCACACACGGGGTCTGCAACAGTGCTCGCCCACCACACACGGGGTCTGCAACAGTGCTCGCCCACCACACACGGGGCCTGCAACAGTGCTCGCCCACCACACACGGGGTCTGCAACAGTGCTCGCCCACCACACACGGGGTCTGCAACAGTGCTCGCCCACCACACACGGGGTCTGCAACAGTGCTCGCCCACCACACACGGGGCCTGCAACAGTGCTCGCCCACCACACACGGGGTCTGCAACAGTGCTCGCCCACCACACACGGGGCCTGTAACAGTGCTCGCCCACCACACACGGGGCCTGCAACAGTGCTCGCCCACCACACACGGGGCCTGCAACAGTCACAAGTTGTGACGTGACTAGACCATACAGCTGGATCGAACTAACATCCCGGACTTCGGAAGTACTCGCACTACCTACTGTACCATGATGGCTTCTCCATTTTCTTATTTCTGGGGAAGATTTAGTTCCTCAGTCTCCTGTTGCCACAACACAGTTCTCATGCAAAATTTTAGTGAGAAATAAGGCTTGTATCTGATATGATGTGTGAATCTTCAACCCCATTTACCATCATTTTCCCCTAGAGCTTGCATCATAATTAGCTAACCATGTTTTCTGCAAATTTATTTAAACCTCTCATAAATGTTTTCAATATAGCAAGTATTGTAAAGCCATTTTCACTTATACACAACAAAAAAGAGTACTGACCGCCTCACGCAAGAAAAACTCTCGGTAAACATCAGTAAAACATTGTTTATGGTTTCAGCTTGTGGAGGACGAGGTGAAGGGCGAGGCGGAGCGAGGCAAGGTCCTGCTCAGCCTCAAGTACACCACCCAGCGAAGCGCCCTCATTGTGGGCATCGTCCGCTGCGCCCATCTCCCCTCCATGGACTCCAACGGCTTCTCCGACCCTTATGTTAAAGTGTAAGTCCACACTGTCACCTGCTCTGTGAGTGTGTCCTCACCTATTTGTACCTGCAGGAGTCAGCTCGACCTCTTAGACCCCGTTTTTCTAGCCGTTGGTTGTCTAATGCAGTGACTCCTGGCCTATACCCCTATCATACCTGCTTTAAAGTTATGAACGGAGTGAACCTCTACAACCTTTAGGTCGTTCCATTTACTCACTATCCTTACGCTAAATAAAAAATTCTAACATCTCTATGACACATCTGAGTTCCATTGATATTCGTTGTAAACATTTCTTCTGTTTCTTCCTTTCAATCCCTCTAAGTATTTTATATGTCTGTACCATGTCCCTCCTCTCCCTCCTTTCTAACGTCAGGTTTAGTTCCTTCAGTCTGTCTTCGTGCCTCATCCCTCGCAGCTCTGGAATGAGTCTCGTTGCAAACTTCTGCACCTTTTCGAGCTTCCTTATGTATTTTTTTAGATAGGGACTCCATGATGGGGCGGCATACTCCAAGACTGGCCTCACATAGGCGGTGTACAGTGATCTAGAAGCCTCCTTATTCAAGTTTCTGAAGGATGTTCTGACATTTGCCAGAGTAGAGTATGCGGCTGACGTTATTCTGTTTATATGAGCCACTGGAGTTAGGTGTTTTGTAATGGCCAATCGCAGGTATTTTTCTATAGACTTTATAGGGAGGTAGATTCCCCCTTCATCGTGTGTTGACCTTTCGGTCTCCTGGCTCCAAGTCCCATTTTCATCACCTTACACTTGCTGGAATTGAACTCGAGCAGCCATTTCTCGGGCCAGCTCTGGAACCTATTCAAGGCATCTTGGAGAATCTTATAATCTTCGTCTGTCTCAACCCTCCTCCTTAGTTTTGCGTCATCTGCAAACATCGACATATAAGACTCAACTCCTAGTCAAGTTTGTTTAAATAAATAAGGAATAGAATGGGTCCCAGCACCGATCCCTGAGGCATCCCGCTTGTTACTCTAAGCCAGTCGGACTCCTCGCCTCTCACTGTCACTCTGACACCTGTCTGTCAGGTAATTCCTTACCCAGGTTAGTGTGTTCCCGTCTACTCCCGCCTGCCTCTCAAGTATGCTAAATATGTAATCTGGCCAGGGAGGGAGGTAATCTAGGGAGCCGGTCGGCCGAGCGGGACTTGTGATCCTATGGTCCTGGGTTCGATCCCAGGCGCCAGCGAGAAACAATGGGCAGAGTTTCTTTCACCCTATGCCCCTGTTACCTAGCAGTAAAATAGGTACCTGGGTGTTAGTCAGCTGTCACGGGCTGCTTCCTGGGGGTGGAGGCCTGGTCGAGGACCGGGCCGCGGGTATACTAAAGCCCCGAAATCATCTCAAGATAACCTCAAGATGCCCATCCTTCTCTGTCTTGCCTTATTTTCGTTACCTTATCATAAAACTCCAGGATAAGGCATGAGTTCCCTGCCTTAAAGCCGTGTTGTTGTTTACTTACAAACCTAATTCTTTCTAGGTGTACAAGTATCTTGAGGTTATCTTGAGATGATTTCGGGGCTTTTTAGTGTCCCCGCGGCCCGGTCCTCGACCAGGCCTCCACCCCCAGGAAGCAGCCCGTGACAGCTGACCAACACCCAGGTACCTATTTTACTGCTAGGTAACAGGGGCATAGGGTGAAAGAAACTCTGCCCATTGTTTCTCGCCGGCGCCTGGGATCGAACCCAGGACCACAGGATCACAAGTCCAGCGTGCTGTCCGCTCGGCCGACCGGCTCCGCCAGTAGTAGTTTTAGTAAGTAGTAGTAGTAAGTAGTTTTAACCTTATAATTCTTTCAAGTACTTTGCAAGAGATACTTGTTAGCAACACTTCTCTGCAGTTAAGTTTCTCTTCTCTATATTCTTTCTTCTAGAGTGACACCACCACTTCCTTCCAGCAGCTGGCCAGTTCCCCCATTGTAAATGACTCATTATAGATTAGTGCTAGAGGTATGCTGAGGGCCTGTGCTGCTTCTTTTAACATCCGTGGTGGTACTCTATCTGGCCCAATAGCTTTAGGAATACAACTAGTGATGCTAGTTGTATTCCTGTTTCCTCTGCTGTTACCTCAATATTGTGTAGTTCCTCGTCACGGGCTGCTTCCTCATCTAGGTCCGGGAGCTGTAACCCCCCCCTCCCCTCCTAGACCTCCCCCTCCCCTCCTAGGCCCCCCCCCCCCCACCCATCCCCTCCTAGACCCCCCCACCCCTCCCCTCCCCTCCTAGACCCCCCCACCCCTCCCCTCCTAGACCTCCCCCTCCCCTCCTAGGCCCCCCCACCCCTCCCCTCCTAGACCCCCCCACCCCTCCCCTCCTAGACCTCCCCCTCCCCTCCTAGGCCCCCCCACCCCTCCCCTCCTAGACCCCCACACCCCTCCCCTCCCCTCCTAGACCCCCCACCCCTCCCCTCCCCTCCTAGACCCCCCACCCCTCCCCTCCTAGACCTCCCCCTCCCCTCCTAGGCCCCCCCACCCCTCCCCTCCTAGACCCCCCCACCCCTCCCCTCCTAGACCTCCCCCTCCCCTCCTAGGCCCCCCTAGGCCCCCCCCACCCATCCCCTCCTAGACCCCCCACCCCTCCCCTCCTAGACCCCCCCACCCCTCCCCTCCTAGACCCCCCACCCCTCCCCTCCTAGACCCCCCCCCCACCCCTCCCCTCCTAGGCCCCCCACCCCTCCCCTCCTAGGCCCCCCCACCCATCCCCTCCTAGACCTCCCCCTCCCCTCCCCTCCTAGACCCCCCCACCCCTCCCCTCCTAGACCCCCCCCCACCCCTCCCCTCCTAGACCTCCCCCTCCCCTCCTAGACCCCCCCCACCCCTCCCCTCCTAGACCTCCCCCTCCCCTCCTAGACCCCCCCACCCCTCCCCTCCTAGACCCCCCTCCCCACCCCTCCCCTCCTAGACCCTCCCCCCCCACCCCTCCCCTCCTAGACCCCCCACCCCTCCCCTCCAAGACCCCCCCACCCCCACCAACAACTCCATATCCCAGAAGTTTTGCAAGTTTGAAGTAACAACAATTTATTTGTTCAATTCATTTAAAAAAACATCGAAATAGAACATATATATCAACCAATATATATTGGGCTTCATCGCGCCTCTGGAAAAAAGTGTTTTATCAACGTTTCCTTAAAAACAATTCATGTGCGACTGTATGGAAGTCACACGGGAGAGACGCTGCCAACTGAATTATATTTTATTAACGGAACATTAATAAATTAACGGATTGGTAACATTTGACGTTTGTTGACAGGCAACTTAAACCAGACCCGAGCCACAAGAAGTACCGGACGGCGGTCAAGTGGAAGAACCTCAACCCAGAGTTCAACGAGGAATTTGTGTTTGAGGTGCGCAGGAACGAGCTCCCCAAGAAGCTCTTAGACATACGTGTGTATGACAAGGATGTCGGACGCAGTGATGACTTTATTGGTGAGTAATGAGCACAGATGACTTTATGATGACTTTATGATGCCCTAGATGACTTTATGATGCCCTAGATGGCTTTATGATGCTCTAGATGGCTTTATGATGCCCTAGATGACTTTATGATGCCCTAGATGACTTTATGATGCCCTAGATGGCTTTATGATGCTCTAGATGGCTTTATGATGCCCTAGATGACTTTATGATGCCCTAGATGACTTTATGATGCCCTAGATGACTTTATGATGCCCTAGATGGCTTTATGATGCTCTAGATGACTTTGTGATGCCCTAGATGACTTTATGATGCCCTAGATGACTTTATGAAGCCCTAGATGACTTTATGATGCCCTAGATGACTTTATGATGCCCTAGATGACTTTATGATGCCCTAGATGACTTTATGATGCCCTAGATGACTTTATGATGCCCTAGATGACTTTATGATGCCCTAGATGACTTTATGATGCCCTAGATGACTTTATGATGCTCTAGATGGCTTTATGATGCCCTAGATGACTTTATGATGCCCTAGATGACTTTTGATGCTCTAGATGACTTTATGATGCCCTAGATGACTTTATGATGCCCTAGATGGCTTTATGATGCTCTAGATGGCTTTATGATGCCCTAGATGACTTTATGATGCCCTAGATGACTTTATGATGCCCTAGATGACTTTATGATGCCCTAGATGACTTTATGATGCCCTTGATGACTTTATGATGCCCTAGATGACTTTATGATGCCCTAGATGACTTTGTGATGCCCAAGATGGCTTTATGATGCCCTAGATGACTTTATGATGCCCTAGATGACTTTATGATGACCTAGATGACTTTATGATGCCCTAGATGACTTTATGATGCCCTAGATGACTTTATGATGCCCTAGATGACTTTATGATGCTCTAGATGACTTTATGATGCCCTAGATGACTTTATGATGCCCTAGATGACTTTATGATGCCCTAGATGACTTTATGATGCCCTTGATCACTTTATGATGCCCTAGATGACTTTATGATGCCCTAGATGACTTTGTGATGCCCAAGATGGCTTTATGATGCCCTAGATGACTTTATGATGTCCTAGATGACTTTTGATGCTCTAGATGACTTTATGATGCCCTAGATGACTTTATGATGCCCTAGATGGCTTTATGATGCTCTAGATGGCTTTATGATGCCCTAGATGACTTTATGATGCCCTAAATGACTTTATGATGCCCTAGATGACTTTATGATGCCCTAGATGGCTTTATGATGCTCTAGATGACTTTGTGATGCCCTAGATGACTTTATGATGCCCTAGATGACTTTATGATGACCTAGATGACTTTATGATGACCTAGATGACTTTATGATGCCCTAGATGACTTTATGATGCCCTAGATGACTTTATGATGCCCTTGATCACTTTATGATGCTCTAGATGACTTTATGATGCCCTAGATGACTTTGTGATGCCCAAGATGGCTTTATGATGCCCTAGATGACTTTATGATGCCCTAGATGACTTTATGATGCCCTAGATGACTTTATGATGCCCTAGATGACTTTATGATGCCCTAGATGACTTTATGATGCCCTAGATGACTTTATGATGCTCTTGATGACTTTATGATGCCCTAGATGACTTTATGATGACTTAGTTGACTTTGTGGTGAACTTTATGATGACTTAGTTGACTTTGTGGTGAACTTTATGATGACTTAGATAAATTTTTATTGACCTATGACTTTATAGTGGTTTAAATGACTTTATAGTGACCTATATGACTTTATAGTGGCCTATGTGACTTCATAGTGGCTTAAATGACTTTATAGTGGCCTATATGACTTTATAGTGCCCTGACAGCTGGGTGGACAGCGCTTCAAATTCGTAGTCCTGAGGTTCCGGGTTCGATCCCCGGTGGAGGCGTAGACAAATGGGCAAAATGTTTCTTTCACCCTGATGCTCCTGTTACCTAACAATAAATAGGTACCTGGGATTTAGACAGGTGCTACGAGCTGCTTCCTGGGGGTGTGTAACAAAAAGGAGACCTGGTCGAGGACCGGGCCGCGGGGAACGCTAAGCCCCGAAATCATCTCAAGATAACCTCAATATATATGAATTTATGGTGGTCTATATGACTTTATAGTGGCTTAAATGACTTTATGGTGCCTTAAATGACTTTATAGTGGCCTATATGGCTTTATGGTGGCCTATATAGCTTTATGGTGGCCTATATGACTTTATAGTGGTCTATATGATTTTATAGTGGCCTATATGGCTTTATATGACTTAAATGACTTTATAGTGGCCTATATGACTTTATGGTGACCTATATGACTTTGTAGCGGCCTATATGACTTTATAGTTGATGATTCATATAGTGGCTCATATAGCCATATACAGTCATCATATAGAGCTATACAATATCTTCACTTTATAGTCATAAAGACTATAATGGTCTTTATGACTTTATGGTGACCTAAAGTAATTTATGGCACCATAAACAGTCTCATCAATGGGCATTTGATGAACCATCGCTCGCTCATCAATGTTGATTTTAGAGAGAACACTTACTGATGTTGAACTTTTTTTTTTAATGAATCTGTCAATTGATATTGAGTTATTGTCAGTACGAGCCGCAAGAAACCTTCCATCTACTCTGCTCTCAATTTGCGCATTGTTAGTTCTCAGTTCAATTTGATTGGTGGCCTTGTTTCTAAACAATATGTAATACGTTTCTTCAGTGTTAAGGAAAGGTCATTTTGTAAGCGGTCAGCCACAAATGGACTCTCCAGTTCAGCATTTAGCGTGTCGTTTAGAATGAGTGGGTTACCATTTGAGAAAATGGAGGTTGTGTCCTCTGCAAACATAATTTTTTCACATGATGCGTGATATTTTGTCCCTCACTGATGTAAATAAGAAAAAATTCTGGGAATTACTGCAATGGAGATGACCGCAGAGCTTAACGAAGTTAATGACCTCTGTTAACATACCCGGAAAGTAAAAGAGTGACTTGGCTTTCATGTGAGTTTTAAAAATACCCGGATGACCTGCAATCTTAGACACATGTGCGAGTCTCAACGCCGACGTTCTCAATACATCTGGGATAACCAGCTCAAATCAAATCAAATTAAATGTTCATTCAGGTACATACATAGAGGATTAGTTACAAGCATAATGTTGGATTTATAGATAGAGGTAGTACATACAATACCTAAAGCCACTAGTACGCATAGCGTTTCAGGCAAGGTGAAGTGGGGGAATAAACACTTAGACTAAGCTGAAATACTGCTCGATCCTTCTGTCCCTTTACATAAAACAAGACCCCCATCCCTCATGTCAAAGTCATGTATGGCTAAATTACGTTTGTTTGAAGGATACTTTCCTCCTTCCAAATGTTCAGTAATTTCCTTCCATCTCGGTTCGTTCATCTGGAATTCTCTCATTTTCTCACTAGAAATATTTTCAATATTAAGATTTACGTTAATAGTAGCAATGTTTCTACTCAAAGTGTCTGGTACAACATGTGACGGACCCGGCTTGTAAAGTATCTGGAATGAGTGAGCAGCTAGTTCATGAGACCAACGGGACATGCGAGGGCACTTAGTTCTTTTCTTAAAAATATGAGTTAAAGCCCCTGATCTGTATAAAGGACAAAGTGACGTTGGAATAGATATGGCTCGAAGTATCGGACACTTTCCACTACAGCCAAAGCTTCCCTATCCGTTGCAGAATAGGGGACCTCCGCCCCTTAACCTTCCTGCTAAAATACCCTACTGGGTGAGGAAGACTTATCGCGTTGCATTAATCATCCACCAATAGCTATGCCACTGGCGTCAGTGTGTACTTCCCACTCCTTATCAAAATCGGGTACTGCCAATACTAGGGTGGAAATGAGTTGACTTTTTAATTTTACATAAGTGTTATCATGCTCTGGATTCCAAATGAATTTAATGTTTTTCTTAGTCAGCTCAGTTAAGGGCGCTGATGTACTTGCAAAACCCTTATTGTGGCAACGGAAATATCCGGCTGCCCCCAGAAACCTGCAAACATCCCTTGCTGTCTTAGGTGTAGGCATGTCAGCAATGGCGGGACAGGAGTCGGTGTCAGGTCGGATGCCGTCTGTGCTCACCTGGAACCCCAGAAACTTGAATTTCTGAGATGCCAGAGTGCATTTCCCCACATTTGATTTAAAACCCGCCTTATCTAATAATGTCAACATCTCAGTCAAATCTCGTAAGTGCTCATCGAACGTCCTGGAGTAGATAACCACATCACCCAGGGACGCTAACGAGTGCCTCCCCAAGACTGGACTGAGGATATAAGTAATTGCCCTCTGAAATGACGAAGGGGCTGTCTTTAACCCAAAAGGCATACGTATGTTCATAATTGAACATACGTATGGACATTGTATCATAATAGGCATGAACACCATCAGAGAAAGGTATATTTTCTCTTTCCTTTTTTGCTACGGGTATGGCCCAATATGCTGATTTTGCATCGGGAGTGAAAAAATACTTGGCTGATCCAAACTGATCGATTATTTCCTGAATACGGGGTAAAAGGTACATATCACCTTAAGTAATTTCATTGACCTTCCGGTAGTCAACCCAAAACCTATAACTACCATCCGGTTTATGCACCAACACCACTGGCTACAACCATGGTGATGTACTAGGCTCTATCACGTTCTGTCTCAACATTTTCTGACACTCATCTCTGATTACTTCCTTTGCCCGTTCCAGGAACCTCCACTGATGAGTATAAATTGGAGGATGATTACCTGATGGTATAACATGTTCAATTCTATCCAGAAGACCGATTTGGTCATCTGTTGCAAACAGTCTAGGGAGTCTGCGTCCCTAGGGGGGAGTCCCTCTCAAAAGTTTCCTATCTGACTGTTGCACATGTTGCAAGTCCAGTGCCGATATTAACTTATCTACTTCTTGATTATTACTATTTTTCCTTGTCTCGATCTTGTTCTTCCCCTGTTTAATGCCAATCTGTAACAT